AGGCACAGTATGGCTTCACTTAACATGTGGTTGTAAGGCTGGGCTCAGCTGTGACTGTCAAGTGGGACGCCTACATGTGGCCTCCCCAGCATGGTAATCCCAGATTTCTTATGTGGCGGCTCAAGACTCCCAAGAGACCCAGGCAGGAACTGCAAGGCTTTTTCATTTCCTGGCTTTGGAAGCGTCAGACTGTCGCTTCCTCCCCATTCTGGTGGTAAGCTAGTCACTGGTAAGGCCAGCCTAGGTTTAGGAAGAGGGGCTTAGACTCACCTCTCAGAGGGATAAGTAATGGGAATTTGTGGCCATCTTTGACTTACCACAGTGTGTTCCTTGATGGGAGACTTTAAGAGGAGACAGTTGGATGGGGTTGTGGGTGCCTGATGCACTTTTAGATTTGGAGGCAAAGATCATGATAGTGGATTGAAGATTCAGCAAGTGTTGGAAGTGGGGCAGTGGGTGTGAAATACTCTTCCAAGATTCTTGGCTGTAAGGAGAACATGAGAATGGGAGTGGACATCAGAGTAAGACAGATAGTTGGAGGGGTTTGCTTGTTTATAATTTTGCTTGTTTACTTTGAAGATGGGTGAGGTGACCAATGACCCAATCTTTTCCAAATCGTATTTGTACATTATTGTTCTACTAACAATAGGTTAACACTGTTGAAATTCTCTCTTTTCTTTGGTGATAACAATTTTCTGCTGGTTCTTCTGGCTGTGACTGATAAGGGGTTATTTCTTTAAATGGTTATTTCTGAGGATATGTCCTTCTTTACTTCTTTATTCTGTACCTTTATCTCTTATACTCTCATGATTTTAACCGCCATCTGTATGGCGAAGGCACCCAAGTCTGTAACTTCTCTTGCCTCCTACCTGTCTTACCCTGGATGTCCCTATAATTGCCATTCCTCTTTTTAGTGATGCCATCACCCTAGCCAAGCCCACAAGCCTATATGACATTCCCTTTCTCTGTCCCTTGCTCTGTGTTGCCAAATAGGTTACCAAGTACTATTGATTTTCTTTGTCATTAAAACCAAGGTTCTCTACTGTGGCTGCAAGTTAGCATCACATGGAGTCCTATCCCAGAACTACTGAATCAGAATCTCTTAGACTTAGGCCTGTTTTTATAAACCATCCCTGGTGATTCTGATGTTCACCAGCATCGAAAACAACTCTCAAAAAATTTTCTCTAAACCTCCAACTCATTTCTGCCATCACTGCTTTGGTTCAGGCTTTTAGAATTTCCTGTAGCTGCCACAACAAATTACCACCAACTTGGTGGCTTAAAATAACTTATTGTCTCATTGTTTTGGAGGCTTCAAGCCTGGAATCAAGGTGTTGGCAGGGCCACGCTGCCTCTGGAGGTTCTAGGGGAGGAGCCTTCCTTGCTCCTTTAGACTTCTGATGGCTCCAGGCATTCTTTGGCTTGTGATTGCCAACTCCAGTCTCTGCTTTATCTTCACGCAGTAATTTCCTTCCTCCCCCTGTGTGTCTACACTGTATGTCTCTAATAAAGACACCTGTCATTGGATTTAGGGCCAGCAATCTAGAATGATCTCATTTCGAGATCCTTAATTTAACTACATCTGGGACACGGATATATCTAATTTAACATTTGGGACACGGATATAACTATCATAACCTCCTATGGTTATGATAGTTCTCCCATCCGATCGTCTGAACTCTAATCTGGATGTCCATCCTGCACTGTGCTGCAATTACTTCAGACTGCAGGTCTTTGAATAAGGTCATTTTCAATGTTTTGTTATGTTGATGAGATGCCAAGGGAACTTAACTCTTGTTTATATTAATTAGCCTATAGTAAAATTGATTTTGTTATACCTTGTTTTGCTCAAAGTTGCAGAACCTATTAACATTACTTGAGGACTTATTGTATAGCCAATCACGTTAGTCTTTTGCTTAAATCTTTCCAGATTCCCCAGTGCCCTCAGGATAAAAAGCCATGCATGGCCCTTATCGTCATATTCTGGTTCCAGCCTACCTTTTACCCTCCTTTCCCACTATTTCCTCTGCTCTTGAACTTTATGCTCTCACAGTACCGAACGATGGACAGTTTTAGCCTTTGCATATACTGTTGCCCCATACTCCCTGTTTAGTCTTGTTCAAATTTCGAGAGTTCAAGAGTTCAAGCAGTGTCTCCTCCATGAAGCCTTCCCCAATGCCTCTTCCCATATGTTTTGTGCGACTGGTGCATAAAGCAACTAGTGCACTCACATAAGTCTTTTATCACACTGGTTTTTGCGCCTTTCCTTTTAACAGAGAGTTCTGTGAAGACAGGGAAGCCGATCTTCATCATTGTAGCCCTAGTACCTGGCATTATAAATATTAAATGAATGACCATATGGCTTAACCTAATTAGAAACTTGTCTCATCATAACACTGATTTTTCCACTGTTACCTTATTTCCAATAGGGTTTTTCACTGATCATCATCTAGATGTATTAAGCGAGTAGCCAGTGCAAGTAGACTGGCATGTTATTTGCTTAACCTGAAGTATCTATGCATCTCTTCTCAGGCAATTTAAATTAAAATGTTTCTACATACGTTAAGGTTGACATTTCTGGTTTTTGTGCTTTTCCCTTTATATTAGATGTGGCTTTGGAGTTGTGTAATTTGCAGAAACCAACCCAAGTTAGCTGAAACTAAAAAGAATTTCATGAACAAGGGTCAGTACATGTGGGCCAATGGAAGCCTTAAGGACCCGTTCTCTGTCCATCTCTCTTTGCTGCTTTTTCTGTCTATCTGCTTCATTCCTTACTTTCTCTGCTTCTTCATCCATATAACAAATTGTGACATCTTCACAGCTCTTATGATTGCATTTTACGGCTCTAGCCATCCACAGAGACTGGGGGGTTGTCTCTCCATTCCATTTTTTGTGTTTTCTGGGATAAGAATGTCATTGGCCAGCCTGGGCCAGATGTCCATCTTTGGCTAGGACGGTGGGGAGGGTGCTGGCCTGGCCATTCACATTCACACAGCTGGGGCTCACTTTGGGGAGGTAAGGGATAGATTCTCCAGGAGGGAGTGTTGTAAGTAGAAACATAACGAGTGTCTGCCCTACTCTAACTATGTATGTTAGATCCTGTAACCTAATGGTAGGTAGTTGAGAGGAAGATGCATCAGAGAGCTGGAGGAACATGCGAGGCCAGATCTTATACCACTTGCCTCTGGGCTACAGTGGTGAAAATGTTCCTCTGAATTGTTTAGAGTCCTGACTTTAATTGATTCACATGTTCTCTTAATACAGAATGTTCATCTTGATTTAAGTGGTAAGGAAATATATTAAAACGAAGTGGGTTTGTAATAGTTGCTTACTCATGGATGCACTCATTATACTAATGATCACAAATATGTTGAAAAAATAATGTATGTTATTCTGATCTTGCCTCAGCAAAAGGAGTTGAGTGAACTTGAAATAAATTGTCTCTGTATTCTAGAAACATTTTTATGTAGCTTATGCTCCTTGATAGAAATGGTAACAGATTAAAAACACAGCAGAAATAACTTCTGGTGATAATTTAAATCTATTGCCATCTTTCTGTAGCTATTGAATTGTAAAACAAACACACAAAACCCCTTGGTTTCAACTTTTACTATTCTCAGCAGGACTCACATCCCCTCTTTGCCAAACTGGCCACTATGCTTTTCTGGGTGTGAGTGGATGAATGGCAAAGGCACGGGTGTTAGGACAGGGACAAGCCACCAGATGTGCTGCCCCTGACTTTGGTGTTCTGAGGGAGCCTTAGAGCTGTCATATTTATCCATGTAAATTTTTAATGATTCCCTAGTCTTCTTTTCATTCTCTTGAAAAGAATTGCCAAGCCAGAGATCGAGAGTAGTTATGTCAGTGTGGCAGGCAACATGAGACAGCAGTCAGAACATACAGGAACTGGTTAATCCAGAGTTAGAAAATATAGTTGAAAACTGAAATACTGCAATCCTGCATTTATTTTAAACACTGGTATTAGTTTAAGGTATTAATGCAGGAAATCTGCTTAAGGACATTATATGTTTTCCATATGACTTTTAAAGTTATTTGACAGTTTGTGAATTAAAACTCATCTTTTTAACCTTTGGGCCATTTTATGGGCAAACACTCTAGTAGAGTCATATTTTATGTTTATTTTTTGCAAGCTACTTTTTGCTAACCTGACAGTG